AAACATAATAATAAAAAATGTTCATTGTGGTAAATGAAATAATTTGATCTAAATGAGAGTTTTTTTCTTCCCGATTTGTAAAAAATCATTACATCATAGAAAAAAAATTAATAACATTTTTTGAAATCCACATAGCTGAATTATGAAAAATATGTTATTAAAACCAAAACAACTTTCAAGAAGTTTAAATTTGCAGGCCTGTGTAACTAACCCAAATGTATTTAAAGTTCAAAGTACACATAATATTGTTATTTTTCAGAATTTGTAATGCATACTGAAGAAATTTAGTTATTTAAGCAATAAAGTTAAAAAAAAATCAAACAGTTCTTGAATTACTAGTCTTAATGAAGTCGCAACATTGGCAGAAATAAAAACTTTATCATTATCTGGATAGTAAAAGATATATTTTACCAAAACAGGCATATCATTGTTTATTTCTACACAATATCTCAACACTATAAACATTTGAGTACCAGTTTGTAACTCATAATTCAAATGTTATGTCACAAAGACTATTAGTTTAAATAAAAGCTAAACTGAATACCAACAGGACAATTTTTTATAAAGTTTATAAATACACTTAATTTGTGTAGCAAGATTGTGCATAACAATGATTTTTTTTTTTGGGGGGGGGGTAAGAACCAACTAAAACCCCTTATTATATTATCATCTTCTATTTAAGCTATCCTCCTCTGAACGCGTTTTGGTACAATTATGACTACATTGTGAATATACTATTAATAGATTAAATATGTTATTTTTTAAAGCAAACTAAAAAATACAAATTTTTTAAAATAGAAAAGAATATGTGAAAGTATGGAGTAAAGGTCTTCAAATTATTTTTCTTTACATTTGAAACAAATTATTTCCCCATACAACTATAGAATTAAAAAAAAACTGTAATCATTTAATACCATTCATTTGTTGCCCAAATACTTCAAAAAAATCTTACTCCACATTTTTTTCATGTGGTGAGTATACAATGATCAATTTGTGCATTTCTTACATAATGTTTTTTCATGTGGTGAGAATACAATGATCAATTTTTGCATTTATTACATAATGTTTTTTCATGTGGTGAGTATACAATGATCAA